GGCCTCCAACCTACTAGCGATGGCCTCCAACCTAATAGGGATGGCCTCCAGCCTAATAGCGATGGCCTCCAGCCTAATAGCGATGGCCGACCTAAGAGCGATGAGCTCCAGCCTAATAGCAATGGCCTCCACCTACTAGTGATGGCCTCCAACCTAATAGGGATGGCCTAACACCAATGATATCGAAACAAAACCCTCTGAAATGTCCAACTTCAACCCATGCCACGGCTCTCTCTCTCTCTCTCTCTCCCCCGCATCCCCCGCGGTTTCACGGTGTCTCAGTCTCCAGCCTCCAGCTTGCATCACCTTGCTCGCCTGTACCTCGGGTCCGCAAGGTGCACATGTAGATGTTAAATGTTGGGAAAGGGTTGATAGTAGGAATAGTGGGACGTAGTGTTGTAGTAAATACCAGGGATGTAGTGTTGTAGTGATATGGACTTTCATAAGTTTAGGATCTACACTAGTGGTTTACTTATGCAAAGCACTCTAGCATACTCTAGCTCAAATAGCTGGTAACCAAGTGGTTCCACTGACTAAAGACCATAGATCTATAGAAGCCTTGGTTTCTCATATGAGCGGTGGACAAAACTTCTTGGTGTCCCCAATACTGTATTTTAGGAAGTTGGCTACTAATGGGCTTCCAGTGTTTTGCAAAACTATCGTCGCCACGTTCAAGAAAGAAAGGGGTATCGATCGAGGCAGAAAGCGCCTAGGGTTAGACCCAATTCAGAACTACTTCAGGCGGCTCATGACTCAAGTACATCCTACGAAAGTGTAGGACCCAAATGGACCCTTTAGGGGACCAACAGCTCCAACTCACCTCAGGATAGGATTGGTCGTGCATTGAATCGCTTCAATCGCTTCACACTCCTTGGGATGCTTCGACCTTTTCGGGATGTCAGGCGATATCGGCACGCCGATCGCATCGGAAGATGTCCGAAATCCGAGACACTTCTTCCGTACCTTACGAAGAACTACCTGGAATCTCAAAGTATATAGGTTCAGCCAATAGGTACAAGATGGTACAAGGCAGTTCTACGTGCGGGTCATGATGGGTCATGTCCCATGTTCAAGAGCGTACTTGAAGTCACGTCCAGGTAGTTGTCGACTCGACAGGACCAGTTCTTCGACGTCCAAGACCAGTTCTTCTGCAGTTGAGAACGAGGGGGCGCCTTTGCGAAACCCGGAATAATTCGGCATGCAACATTTCAGAGGACTGCATCATATCATGTCCAGCATGTCATGCTTGAAAACCGTCTCCATATCAGACATTGTCTGATAGAATGTTGACAGAGGTATCAACCAGAGGTACTCAACCAGGTCTTTCAACGTTTGCAGCATAAAGTCTCCCACCCTTCTCTGGAACCGGCCATCAGCTGCTCTTGAGACCTGGCGTAACCAAACCTGCAACTATATGCAATGACATCCAACCTAATAGCAAAAGGAACCTAGTAGGAATGGCCTCCACCCTGTAGCGATGGCCTCCAAGCTACTAGCGACATGCATTAGTGTGTTTCTCTAAATCTTTCTTGAGGTGACTTATTCCAGTGCTCTTTTTGGGATCCCCACCTGGGCCCTTAAGCCCTAGCCAGACTGGAGAGTAGCTGTCAGCTGCAGCTCAGGTGCATAGAGGAGCATCAGGATGGAGAGTAGCAGTCCAAAGGCACTTTGGATCACCACAAAGCCTGTCAACGCGGCCCCCGCTTACTAAGAGAATAGTAGGTTCGAGGCTATTGCTATTAGGTTTGAGGCTTTTGCTATTAGGCTGGAGGCCACCACATCACTAATCATTATGGGTTGGAGGCCGTCCCTATTGGGTTGCAGGCCATTGCTTCACCCAACTTCGCGGTGTCTCAGCACGGACTGGCCACGCCATGTTCGGTGTCCGGTCGTGGCTCGCGGTTCCTTTTCTGGTTTGCTTGGCTGGAGACGGTTGGAAAGACCCTACCAAATGCCTTTGGTTCTAGAAAGTAACTCCCAGTGCCACCTGAAACACGAAGATCCAGCCGTTCAAACGAGCCCAGGTGAGCAGATCAAAGCTGCCCAGACATGGACCCGAACCAACTGCTTCTTCTTGCTTCAGTCCAAAACCCTAGTTGTTCCAGGTCAAAACCCCTGTAACGAACGGGGAACCAGGTCCAGACTCTGAAGCCGAACTGGGTGAGTTGTTGCCCTAGCTCACTGATTCCGTGCTTCCGGCCGCCACGGAGCGGCCGCCTTGGTAATAGCAATCCTTCGCCATCGCATCCACATTGTTGACCTGAGTGACTCCACCGGATGACCATGGATGACCTGTGGACCCAAATCAACCATGTCTGTCCACCGGATGTGCCGGTGGAATCCACCTCCAAAGGCAGACTTGCCACGCAAAACACGACCAAAACCACAAGACAAACGCTATCTAAATCTAAGCTGGATCCGCCTCCAAATCCAAAGTCATTCATTTCCAAACAGAACAAAGAGCCATGGTCCAGACTGCTTGAGGGAACAAACAGTCAGTCTTTCGTTTGGACTGGCAAGCTTCGACCAGAGTTCAGGGGAACTGGTAACCACTTCGAACTTGACAAAATTCGTCGAAGACCAGCCACCAGCGTCGGAACAAGAACGAAGAGATTCAATGCAGTGATGGGCCTGCAGTGATCCGCCTGTAATTCTGGCCATTCGTGAGTTCCTCACACGGTGCCATCCAAATCCACAAACATCAAAGCCCTTGCCCCACCTGCCCATCATCAGAGCTGACACCTCTCAGCTCACCATGCATATAACTGGGTGGAAAGACTGGAGCTGATCCTCTGCCCAAACCACCCACGAAAAGGCTCGGTCTTCGAAATGGACGCGTTCCACCTGCACTCTGCCCAAACCACCCACAGGGTGCCCTGAACCCGGAAGCATCGAAAGAAAGGGCCTTAGTAAATCGTGTCTTCTCCGACTTAGTGGACGTGGAAACTCATGGACAATCACCTGTTCGGACCTGTTTGGAGATGCTTGTTTCTAGGTCAAGGCTTCTTCTCCAAGCGGCGCCCACATAGAACCACCAATGCCCATCCACCTTGTTCAGCTCCTGAACAGCCGTCAAACAGTACCACCAACACGCCACGCAGCTCTGCGCCGGTGGTGTCAACGAATCGAATCTGTAAACTGACTGGTGCTTAGTCAGTAGGGAATGAGGGTGGCTGGACCCAACAGCAATCTCTGTTGGGTGGTCATTCCCTCATTCCCTACGACTAAGCACCAGTCAGTAAACATCCACGAGACTCTGTTGTGCGGACGAGAATGAAACAGGCGATTCACTTCAGTACGTACGACGCGAGGCCAACCATTTGGACAACCATTTGGAACGAAAGGAAGCCAGCCAACCTCAAAAGGGGAAGAGACCCAATTGGAACAGAACAGCTACAACCAATCAGCAGTCATCTTGGATTTGCCCAACAAAATCAAATCTTCGACCCTGGCTGTTGATATCCTGAGAAAGACAATCATTTTCGGAGGATGTGCTCAAAATCATCCATGCGGTAGCCAGCCGTGCATGTTCTACGTAGAAATATCCTGCAATCCGGGGTGTGTCTGAAGACATCCTTCAAGTAAACAATGCGCATTTTAGCGATTTGGTCAGTTCTATCATGCACCATCCTGCCATATCAGAAGGACCTCATGCAAAATCCTCCGAGAAACAGAAGAGTCTTGGGATGGTCACCTGCCTTGCCTGCTTCGCCCTTTGCACTTCGTTTGGACAAACACGGAGAATGTGTCACATCATAGCTGGAGAATGATGAGAATGAGACAACTCCCTACTCTTGACGACTCGTATACCATTACTGACCTCCTCTTACTCCGACCTAATCCCTTCTTTGGCCTCCAACCTAGTGGCGATGGCCTCCCAAAATAAACATGGATGATCATGGATGGCATTTCCAACCAGCTCATCATCTTCCCATCATATCTGCTCACATGGATGAACAGACCGTCCTCCTCCAACTATAACATGAAAGTCGACAAAACCCCATGTTTGGTATGCGGAAAATGGCCATCCAGGGGCCAATGATATCCACTTCCATGTTGACGTGTTCATCGGAGGGTATGCAGACCACCACCTTTGGGTTCAACCGCCACTCCTCAGCATCCAACATCAAGAGCTTCGCGAAGAGCTGCTTCCGGTGCACCATGCGCGTGCCACCCGTGCCTCAGCGGTCAGCTATGCCGAACACGCGCAGGTTGGAGAAGGAGTGGGAGACTCACACAAGGAGACGCACATGTTGCCGAGTGGTGCAAGTGGTAGGGGGATGTTGTCTACAAAACACTCATCTATAATAATTGGTTGCTGGCTCCCAAAACTGATACAAAAAAGGCGGATAAAAACGCACATGCAATGCAAGGCGTCGAGATGTCAGTCTCCGCAACATGGAACAACATGAAGAAGACTGCCCCAGCTGTCAACCTGCTTCAGGCACTTGAAAGCATCGATGTCCAACTAAATGTCCAACTAAAACAGTACAGGATGGCCAGTAGATGTCTATACGGAGAAAACCGACACGTTTTCCATGTATTACTACGCATATTAGCCGCTAACTCACCAACATGGAACTATACACATACACTCCATGGGACTGCCATATATGCCTACATTGACCCCTCTGGCACCACCCCTGGCCTGATCGGCAGTCCTATGGCAGTCCCATGTGTCGTGTCTGGGATAGAAGGGGGTCCCTTGGAAGACCGATTTCGTTGAGAAACAAGATCTTTGTTCCTACTGCCTCTTGTTCGCTAAGAACATGGTCGATGAGTCGGGTAACGATTTGCTTCGAACCGTCACGTTTGTATATGTATTATTTTTCGTCGCGTTGAATGACCCCGCAGGCGGATGTTCCAATTCTATTCTATATGTCCAAGAATGTCAAAGATATATCATATCAAGGCAAATGTACTGGCCTTTCCACATATATCCACTATCCCCCATTTCATGGGCCTTTGTTTGAGCGGACCTCTGATCATTTGATTTTTCGTTGCCACCCTTTGGACCGTCGGACGCCTTAGCAGTAACAATCCAGTCCTGGACTGTGCAGTTGCCAGAAGGGCAAGTGATACAAAGGTACCTGGACCTTCATGTCGGGGTATCCTGGACCTGGAGATCCCGGATGGTTAGTGTAATTTGGGGCTTCCAGCTGACCCCTTTATAAGGTGCTCGTATGATCAGTTCGTGACACGCAGGGCGGTAAGAGCTGTTCGAAAGGAAACTCCCAGTGGCGACCACGGCTGGCACCCAAGCTATCTGTTGAGATGTGGCCCTGCAGCCAGTCTATAGTAACCACTTCGGGAGATAGCCACTTCAGGAGCCAGCTCTCAGCTATCTCCCTGCTGCGGCTGCAGAAGCAAGCAACTAACTGACCCCACATGCACGCCAGACTGGAGGAGTCGGTGGTACCTGGAACCCCAAGTCCCAACCAGAAGCAGTTCTGGTTGGAACCCAATAAGGGGCCAGCTTGAAATCGAAATGGCTGGGACTGGGGAGTTATATCCATTTGTTTCATGGTTGTTTGGGCTTCCCAGGCAGGTATACCAAACTGGCTGCTTCTATACAGTAGAGTCTCCCCCCATCTGCCCCGCCGCAAATCCTGCGGTCGCCGGCCGTTTCTCCGCCCGGCGACGTCCGCGGTTCTCCACCGCCAGCTTGTCGCCGAAGCGGAGGAGCGCCGCCGAGGCGAACTGCGCCAGACCTGCGCGGTGACGTGCGACGAGCGAAGACTCCGGGGTGCTAGCTGCCACGGCGGCGGCTCCTGGAGGATTTCGGGTTGATTTATAATGGATTGAGGGAGAGAGCTCGGCCCCCTGTGAGGGGTGACGAACTCAGAGGTACCAGCTTGGGAGTTTGACAGGAATGTGTTTTGAGGTGCGGTATGGCGCGGTCAGACTCACGATGGGCGCCACCCATGGCGTCAGTGCTTGGAGATCTCTCTGCCAGCCCATCACAGGAACTGGCACCGATCGGATTGACCCCAGCGCAACCGAGAAAGCGGCACGTGAAGCCTTTGACATTTAGTCCTGAGAAAGTATCTTAAATCACTTAAATCAACATCAGGGTACCCGACCAAAAAAATATGTATACCGTATGCATGTATTATAGTAAGTAAATGAAGCCGAAAAAAAAAAAAAAAAAAAACAAACGGTCAAATGGATTCCTGTTGGGATACCGACGAAGTTGTCATGTTCAGGTTCACCAACCCAGCCAAGCGGCCCATCATGCAGATCTCCAGCGGCTTGTCGCCTGACGATCGACGCGACTCCAACGGAAGCAAAGAGGGCGACCGCGCCGAGACCTTGGGAGCGTTCGGACGTTACGAACGGGGCGCTCCTGGCCTTACTACTAGGAGCAAGAAGCTAGGAGCAAAGGGCATCGCTACTAGGAGCAAGGACGCTACTAGGGACTCCTGGCCTTACTACTAGGAACAAGGACGCTACTAGTAACAAGAAAGGATTGGAGTGGAAAAGGCTCAAGTGGGACGCAGCCCAGACAGAGTCGACGGGCACATGGACCCGGTGGTTGGGCATGCTAAAGGGCCCTGGGATCTAAAGGCTGCCATTGCTGCAGCCTCAACCGGTAGCAAGAGAGGAAATGCGTATGCACGTTGGATGATCATGAAGCCCAAGCCAAAGGGACCTGACGCAGAGGAAACATGGACACACATTCTATGGCGTGGCGGACTGTTTATACATACTTTTACATTCAATTATAGAAAAAGGGCCCGGGGCCCAAACCATCAAGAAGCGTATGCCCTTGCATCAGCATCCACTGTGCCAGTGCGCTGCGAATCCGGCCGGCGGATGGTTTCGACCTCTGGGAACCGGCATTCATTTCTCTTCCAGCATGGAATTGGAGCTGTCCGGAATGACACGCCCACGGCACATGTCCTTCCCGAATCACGTGTCGATCGGATTTTTGTTCGACCACGGCACGCGTCGCAGCGTGCACAGCTGCGGCGCGAGCGCACGGCGAAAGTGACCTGCAGTTCCGGACCGCATGCTGCAACACGCCTCGCCGATATGTGGTCACCCATCTACTCTCACGGTCATCAAGCTGATGGGTCGTCAAGCTGCACTTGGGATGTGCTGGATGAGCAACGCGTCCAGATACTCCGCTCTCAGCGGCCACGCAGCATGGCCGACGTTCCTTGGCTGCGCGACCTGCCACGCGGCCTACGCTGCGCCAGCCGAGGCCATCGGGCGAGCCGGGCAGTCCAAGGACGCGGAGACGGCTCCGTCGGCCAGGACGGGGGATTGACCGACGAACCGCTAGGACTCGTTTTTCTACGAGAGAGCCACCCGCGGTTCTAAATGTATTTCCAGCCTGAATCCCGAACCATTGTTTTTCTAAGGGTTTTACACTACAAAACCAGATCAACCATTAGAAATGGTCTTTGACTTTCCAGTACTTCCAAAAGCCAATCATGAAGATCCCTGTGTACGCTGCACGCCAAAACCTTCCTGCAGGACCGCTCCGTGCTTTTACTCAGCTTTTGGGACCCACAAAAGACCTCCCACGCCCCGCGACTCGCGCGTCGTCGCTGCTTTTAGAACTCCAGGCGACCGAAACCAACCCTTCGGGTCCACCCAACGCTTTCTCGGACTCGACAGTCGTCGCTACCGGTCGCTTCCAAGGCGCCCGGGATGTCCGGATCGCAAATCTGGTCCAAGAGGATCCTCGCTCCGGACTTGAAGGCATCAGAAAAGGGGGCTCCATGTCTCTCAGCTTTCAGGCGACGAACTGGGGCTGTTTTGTTGCGGCGCCGAAGAGCCCAAAACATGCCAAAACCACTCGCCGTGCCGCTGCCAAGCGTCTTTTGCAGCAGCGCGGTGACGCAAACAGTGTGGACCTTACAGGTCGAACACAGCGAGCGATCGGGGGGCCCGGACACCACGGGCACCGATCCTGTGTTCACCACGCCAAGTTCCAGTGTGACTGTCACACCGCGCTCGATGCGTTTGGTCGACTGCACAGCTGTTCCAGTACATCGCAGGGCGAAGGTCGCCCACTCCCATGTCGTGGTACTTGTTCAGTGCGCCCCAAAGGGTACTCGAGGGATGTTTGCTGTGCAATACATCGTTGAAGGTAAGTTGGATATGAGCCCCCCAGCATGCACGCCAAAAAGCTCTTTCGCTCTTCTACCTTAAACGTCCAGCTGTAGGGGCAACCGTCTGACCACGTTTGAGTCATCCAAAGAATATCAGCGCCGTGGACAGGATTGGATTCAAAGAAGATGTATAGAACATCAATGCTCCCCGTGACTCCTGTTTATAAGACTCAATTTCCTATAAAGAAGATAGGACTACTACGTAGACTATATACTGTATACCCAGCTTCTTGCCACACACGGTCATGTCCAAAAGCCCCGTCAGAAGATCCAATTCTCCCCCCCGCAATCACATCCTCTCTCTAAGGCCTCCTGGCCGGATCGTACCTGAGGCCAGCAACACTTCAGCGACAAAACCCGGTGCGTTCAAACATGTTCCAAAACACCCATGCAGGATCCCAGGAATGTTGGGTACTCAGGATTCTGGAATCTGATCACAACAAAGACAGACTACAACATACTATAACTAGTCGCAGTTGATCTGGGACTGCATTTCCCAGACACTCCATGGGACTGGAATGTATGCCGCCCCATTGACCCCCCCCTGGTACCACCACCCCTGGCCTTTTCTCGGCAGTCCGGACTGGCAGTCCCATGTGTCGTGGTCTGGGTTTCACTCCGGGACGTACCACGTTCCGAAGTGGAGCAGTTACCGTCACCTCTCCGGGACGGGCGCGTTTACGCCTACGCGTGACTTCGACTTCGCGTGACTCGGACGATCATGCCATCCACCGTCGTCGACGGGTCTTCGTTGATTTACACCAGATTCCAGACCCCTTCGAGTCCACCCCCCACGCATGGTTTTGGTCCACGATTTCTGAAGTCCTCATTAAGTAAGTCGACCGACCTACAGTTTTTGTAGACTATAGTATAGTCAAAAACCACCGAGCACACACGAGAAGTGAAGAGAACCTTCAGATCCCAAATGGAAGGAACGTCTGATATGAAGCAGTGAAATGGAATCAAGTCATGAGGATGAAGTCAAGTGAGACGCCAAACACCAGGGAATGGTCAAAATGACTATCACCGTGTTATTTTGGGTGGGCTATCGGCGAAATTGCAACGTCGATGGATTGATCCATCTTCCATCATCTTCCACTGCCGCAAATGCACCACAAAGTTCCATTCTGTCCCCGACAGTTCTCCGTCGTCGCTTTCTTTTTTTGCGGAGTTGCAAGAGACCCAGCAAGGTCTTCCACCAGTGCAGACCTCTTGAGCTCCTTCGCTCCTCACGGAGAGAGCTCCCACGACACACCCCTTTTTGAAGCTCTGGTTGATGAGATCGCCGGCAGGGGTTCTATCAAGAGTGATTGGGGCCATCGCACCAATAAGAAACATCACGGGGTGCTCCCGCCCCGCGTCGGCGCGACCATGCTTTGGTTTGCTGGGGGTGATAAACTCCCACGCAAAAAGGGTCAAATGCACATACGATAATCACTTACCAGCCTTCCAGGTGGTTTTTGGACACCTCTTAACCTCTAAGGAGGCTATTTATAGATACCTCTTGGAAGGAAGGTCCTGGTAGAAGTCTTCTACCTTGGCTTAAATAGCTTGTGGCCACCCTGCAACAGGAGAAGTCTGATGCAGTCTGCCTTTGCTCTCTTCATGTCCTGCTGATGTGTGGGGATGGATCATCAACGATGGTCAAAATCCCCACACACTTCAACCATGACTGGCCACCTGGTTCCCAGCTGGGGGTGACTGCCGAAGTTGTGGGGTGTTTCGAAACACCACTCCGTACCACTCCATGCAAAACCATCTGTGTTTGAACTCAGTAAGACACCTGTTGAAGTGCGTTGAATTAGTAAACCACCACACACACAAAGAAAACACCACTGTAAGGTTGCACATCTACGGGATGGATGCATTTCTGGAATAAAAAGACACGCAACATAGATCCCACTCTATTCCCCTGTGAGTACCAACCAATCTCTGCTGCCTTCAAGCGTTTCACTTATATAGAGCCACGCAGCTCTTGCTTGTTGTGGGGACTCCTTCTCAGGGATCAAAACAAATTCTGTGCTTTCAGAGCAAATGGCGCAACCCCCAAGGGTTGGATGCTTTGTGTGGACCCATCAAGTAGGGCATCTAAAAGACATACTGCGCCATCTACTCTGAAACCAACATCACATATCCCGCACAAGCAAGGCAGAACACCAAAGCGGGACACAGATCTCCTGCAGGTAGTACCAAATGACCCAGAAGCGCGACTTCCTGGGTGTGGAAGACCGGCAGCAAGTGTGGAAGACCGGAAGCACCAAGCATGCTTCCGTGGACCAAACACCTACGTTATGAGTTATGACCCCTACTGCACGAACACCAACAGGATCAAACAGGGGGATGTCCAATGGTCCAAGTGTGCATGGTCCAGTCTGTGAGAATCCAAGTGCCGTTGGCCAACGTTCTACGAACTCTGTCAACTGATCACTCGTGTACACCGTGCACACGTTGAGACTTTGTTCACCTGGGGGTCACGCTTATGGGCTACACACATGTACATTAGCCGGCAAATCGAACATAAAGAAGGGTGAGGAAAACAATTGGAAGCCACAAGTAGCGCATGCCCTCTTGAAACAAACAAATCGGTCAGTCTATCAATCTATTTGGTGACACCAAAGTTCTGGTCCACTGAAGCATGTGCAGCTACAGTACATCATGAGGATTTGTTCAAGCACCTGTCGCTGTTTCACACACGATGTAACATTGAAAAAATGCAAGTTGTGCACTTCATGAAAGTCATCTTGACGGATGGCTGAAACCACGATTGATCTATGCAAGTTGGTCCCATAAGAATCTGCTAAGAACATCAATCCCAAGAAATTGGCTCTTGAACTGCTCCCAAGAATTCCCAGAGTGAGGGTCCATCTAAGTTGGCCCGTTGGCCCAGTCTGTGGTATCGAACCGTGGCACGTCTGGCGTATCGAACCGTGTTCTACAAACGCGTGGAAACCAATCCCCGATGGAGCACACCCTACAAAGAATAGACTAATGACTATAATGACGAATGTTGACTGTTGATTCATCTTAAAATGCACACGCACATCGTGTAAATGATGGATCCTTCCAAAGAATTAGGGATGTTTTATTGATCAACAGTCTAAACTTGGAATCTTCTTTTGTGTCTCTCCTTCCAAGAACCGGTCGCTGTTTTTGGGTCACCTCCTCTGCTGCCGAAGGACTGCTTGGCTGTTGGAATGTTGTAAGGGAACGCGTAGTCGTAGGAGATGTAGACTCGGACCTTTGAAAGCGCGGTCAACAGGGCTCTCCCCAGGGCTTTTCAAGACTGCCAAAGAAATGCGGAAACTGATTCAACAATGTAATGATTGTTGGACGGCGGTCTTTCTCTTCATGTGAAATATTAAACAGTCTTCTTTTGAGTTTTCAGGGTTAGAGGAGTGTGCAATCGTTGAAAAGAGCATACCAAGCAAGCAACTTCCAATAGTATTCCGAATATTGATGAGATTGCAGTTATGCTAACTGTGTGTATAAGGTTTTAACACCAGTCATAGTTACTGTATATCATATATTGGTCTATCCTATTACCTGTAACAGTGGATGATGATGGTTAGCGGTTAGTACAGGCCTTGCCAAAAAAATAGTGATTGTTTACTGACTGTTACAGGTAGTAGGACAACATGGACAAACCCAAATTATATATATATATCGCTGAGTATATAATCAATCTATATATCTCAACTCACATCTGGTGTGGCAACTTCCTCGGCTCTCAAGACAGTGGAACCCTTGGGAGCTGCAAGCTGGAGCTGCGTTGGAAAACCCAACAGGGAAAGAGCTGGAGTGAGTCGCTCAAACCGAACCCCCGGAGAGTCCAGTCATTGACTCATTTAAGACCTCCCCAGTCTCTAGTGAACCGATCAGTGTCCAAAAGCGATCGGAGACCCAGCGTGCAACCCCAGAGGACGGACGCAAGGTCCGTTTGGATTGTGACTCGGAGGAAGTAGTTCCATATGGAGTATGCCCAAACACGCCGTTGGGACTTTGAACCCCATACATTGACCATACATTGACCCCTTTGAGTTCATGGTGTCCACAACGCCCTGCGCGCCCGGGCGGTGCGGCGGTGGCTCTCCCGCGCCAAACTGGGACCACCTCGCGGGTCCGGGGCGCACGACGTTGAGGCTGGGGCTTGGTGGGACTTTTTGGGAGGTGGTGTTTCTTCCAGAATTGGTTTGGCCAAGTCCAGGGAAAATCAGAACCCGGCCGATTGCCAATAGGTTGCTTCAAATGCTTCAATCCAATCGGTTGACCAAGCCGCCAATCTTTGCCGTTGCGCCACTCGTCGCTCCAGGAAAACAATAGTAAAGCATTGGCGAGGTCCAAATCAAAAGGTCCCTGTGACGGTCATTTTGGATGCTAAAATGGCTAGGCTAGAATGCTATAACCTGCAGGTTGGGCTGGTCACCTTGGAATTCTCAAAGCAAAAGCCATGTGGATAGGCCGCCTGCCACAAGAATCATGCTCAAACGAGGAGCACCTTTGCCTTGAAATTAATTGAACACCTCACTATAAACTATTTGACGAGGAAATGCAAGGGCAATGTTCTTTTATCCCTACTTACTTCGATAGACCCACCAACCACCGTTCATTCGCTCGCCCGTTGGTTGTTTCAACACACCTGCACCCTTTGGGTGCTCCAACCGCCCAAAGGTTGCCCAAACCGAATGGTCACAACTCTTGCTCCGAGTGTTCTCCCGTGGATCCCGAGTGTTCTCTTGGGCCGAATCCGGTCTCCGTTGGATCAGACTCCAAGGAGTATAGAAGTCCAGAGGCGACAGACTAAGTGTCAAGTCATTTTGGTGGTTCTGTTCATGGGCTGCTGAGGCAACCGAGGTTCGAAGCCGTAGGCAACTGAGACAATCAGATTCGATACCAGAAATGCAAAGATGCAACAAGAGAAAGCGAAGGCTTGGAGTAGAACCTGGAGATTCAATATCTTCAATAGCTGAAGAGAAATCCCATAGAAACAATATACCAACTTAGCTACCGACTCTGGGAACCTGGAAAAGCTAAGTCAAAGCCTCGACCTGGCTAGCTTTTGCTTCACATGATTGTAGGAACATACCCATTTTTGCATTGTTTGGTGGTGCAAAGGTTCTTTTTGGGTCACTCAGGTTCTTAGGTCAAAACTCGCCATGTGAAACTTGTCAACTGAGAAGTTCTGGACGTGCAAATGCTAGTAACCAGTACTCCACTTGCAAGGAACGTATTAACATATATGTGCATGATTCCTCTATATGCCTAATGTTTTGCCGTGTTGGGTGTCTGATCAAGCTTGATATCTATGCCACGTCCAAGCCTCAAGGCCGGCCTACGACCCCCCTTCACCGCACCTAAGGTGGCTTTTCCCTTCACCACCTCCAGCAAATCAATCTCGAAGTACCTGCGAACGAATGCTCTTTCGAAAGCCTCCCCAACGACTGGGAGAGACTCTGGAGAAAAGCTCGGGTGTCCAAACGTTTCGAGATGGATGGAGAGTCTGAAAGTCGAATGCGGAATGCTGGTCTTGCTTGGTGCATTCCGGGTGTCCTTCCCATGGACATCTGGATGGGTCAAGGCCGAATTCGAACAGATCCTCCGCCCCAAAATCCCCCCCCAGATTCCTGGCTCCGCCTTGTTTTTTTCCACCGCGAAATCACGAACTACCCTGGTTCGACCAAGGAATGTTTACACCCTAAGAATCCTTGGACCCTCCGAGCTGGGGGGGTTTTGACCCTGCAGAACGCAGGGGTTTGGACCCGAACCAAACCTTCACTGAACTGAGGGTCCTTGATTCTTAGAGCACAGACGCTCCAAACAGCCCTTGTGTCCCTCAAAACCATAGGGTTTTGAGGGTCCAAACCCCTCCATATGAGGGTCCAACCCGGTGCCAGGAGCGTCTGGGTATATGACTGTTACAGGTCAGTTCGGACAGACCCCATCTACACCCACAACAGTGATCTTCTTGCCCACAAAAATATCTCTTTGTCAGGTGCTTTTGACCCACACAAATCAGCGCCGACCGACCGACACTCGTCGTGCGCACCGCATGCGGAGCGACGGGCGACGGAGCGACGGGCGACGGAGTGTTGCACGCCAGCAGTCACAAGACGGGGTGGTGTGGCTCGTCCCATCCAGTGAGTGGATGTGACAGGGGCACCCCTAACATAGATAGCACCCCTAACATTGTGACTGCTGGTGTGTGTCTTTTCCAGAGCTAATTTTCATGATTCCCAGACGCTCCAAACAGCCCTTGGGCCCTCAAAGCCATAGGGTTTTGAGGGTCCGGACCCCTCCAAACGATTCGGGTCCGACCCCTGCATAGGTTCGGGTCCCGGGTCGCGTCTGGGTGATTTCTAAACAAGAGTTGATCCGTTGATCACATGTCTTCAGATCCAACGAGGGCGTGTTTCCGTCGGAAAACCGACGGACGCGGATCCGGATCGCAACCGAGCTCGGCCTTCTCCCTCGAACCCTTGGCATCTTCCTGCTGTATGTTCCGGCCAACTTCTGAGGTTTCGTCTGACGGCAGGATTGCCAACAGATGTTTCAATCGTCTAAACACTAAGCATTCGACTGTCATGCACAACTGAAGCACGATCTTTTCTTCACTTCAGCTGGGAAACCGCTATCGAAATGTCTGGATTGCAAGTCTTTCGGCACCCAAAACCCAACGACCTCGTGTGCCCAACGGGCCCTTGCTTGATCGCTGGCGAGCAGCTGGGTGGTTTTATAGGTTCGAGGTGGTTGGAGTTGAATCTTCACTTCGACTTCCACCTGAGATCAGAGGGGCAAAGCCAGGCATTTCGTGTTCCCTCATCACTTTGCACCAATTTCTACAGAAACCATCTAGACTCCAGTCTCCAGGAGTCTTATTGCTTTGGAGCATGGATGTGGGCATGTGGGAGTTGGAGCAACACTGGTGGGATGAGTCTTTGACCCCGTGTCCATTCTCGACTCAATCCATCAGCGATCGCCAGTGACCCAGATCAATGTGAATCTGAGACTTTGCCAAACCACCAGGGTCCAGGGTGGAACAGTCAGGGTCGGGCGTGGATGCTACGCAACAAACACTTCGTCACCAATCACTACAGTCACCATCTATAGACTCACAGGGTTACCGCTGTTGATCTACCAGGTGTTTGAGAAGACAATATGTCTCCAGGAGTCTTTATGCTCCCGCTTTCTAGCTGGTTTCGACCACACGATTTACAATATATTTACAGATCTCCAAAACCCCTGCCAGCAGGCCCTGAACTTTGGATGCCTAGCTGGATTTTTTGAGATCCCAACACATCCCAAAAGCATGACCAGAAACCAGCACCGAACCCGGATCGAACCTCCGAAACGTCCGCGGAAAGACGACCAACACCGCCCCTTCTACGCGTACCCGCGTACCCGTCGCTTCCGTCGCTTCCGTCCATCGTCGTGCTGGGTCTGTCGTGCCGGGCACCTCAGAGTCCTTGAAGGTGACGACTTGATTCTGGAAGATGTAGTCCTCATATGTGCCAAAGCCCCCCCACACGCACGAAGATCACGAAGGATCGCGAAAAAAAACGGGTCGTTGGGGCTGATGTGGGGTGTGACTGGCATTCTTGGGGACACCTCCCTGTTGTCCAAAGCCAACAAGCAAAACCAGTACTGATGCCAACAAAAGAATGGCACCCTACACCCTACACCCATGCTGAGTGTTTTTTTGGAAGAGCGAGGTCGATGAAAGGCAGCGCACACCGGGGATGTTCCTCTCTTTTCATCAACCAAGGGCCTTTCCAGGCCATGCCCTACCAACAGAGGTTGAATGACCAAATTAGTTCGACGATCCCACGTCGAGGGGCCCAAGGTGTTCCGGGTCCTATTTACGGTCACTGACATAACCACTCCTGGTACATCTAAGATTGGTCATCTTCACCCGACCGTCCGAGGGGAACGGCCTGGACCGTCTCTGGACCGGACCTGGACGTGTCCGGCATGGAAAACGTCCCCGGTACAGGGGCGGTGGATCTCCTGAACCCGGCGGGAGCTCCGGTGGTGCCAAACACCCCACGTGGCGAAAGAAACCAACGAAAACCCGGTTCGACCATCGCCGGGTGAAGTGGCACAACCCTCATCCTCTTTTTGTCATCAGCAGCCATCTTCAAAGAACCACCAGAGCAACCAGAAAACCACAGCAGCCTAACGATCAACGTTAAACACCAGAAGCAGCGAAACAACAGCACCGCCAGCAACCAGAAGCACCACAACCACCACCAGAAGCAACAATCGCTCATGTCTTGGCACTTCCAACTATTCCACGGCCGGGTGCGTCCTTGCCATTGTCAGCCACGTCATCCTCAGCATATCACCAGGCGAGGCGAGGCGAGGCTCAAAGATGTCATCCGTCTCCCGCCCGTGAACGCGAGTAGAAGAAGAGGGATGAGTCGTCTGGTTTTTGGACCAGCGAGCATAGTGATCCTCAAAAAAACATTATACAAAATGAATTAAATTTTGGAAATGAAAACGTTGCCAGGCAACTGACCATCTTCCATCATGGGACCCTATAGCCAAAAGTGGCAGAACATCCTCTATCGCTAGAGGTTGGTTCTACACTTCCAAGGAATCTTTTGGGGAAGTCCTTCCAAAAAAGTAATGGTGAAAGAGTCCGTCGGCGTCAGAGCACCCATTTATAGTATAGAAACTCGAATTTTGCTAGATTCCATGCTGTGATCTGAAACTAACTAAACTACTACCACTACTACCACTACTACCTACTACCACTACCTACTACCTACTACCTACTACTACAACTACAACTACAACAACAACAACTACTACTACTACAACTATTCCTCCCACTCCTACTCCTACTCCTACTCCTCCTACTACTACCACTACTGCTACTACTACTACCACCACTACCACTACTACCACTACCTCCTACTACTACTACTACTACTACTACTACTACTACTACTACTACCAGTACTAACTACTACTACTACTACCACCACCACCACGACGACTACTACTACTACTCCCACTCCTACTCCTCCTCCTCCTACTACTACCACTACTGCTACTACTACCACTACCAGTACCACTACTACTACTACTACCACTACCTGCTACTACTCCTACTACTACTACTACTACCACTACTACTGCTACTACTACTACTACTCCTACTACTACTACTACCACTACTACTGCTACTACTACTACTCCTACTACTACTACTACTACTACTACTAGTAGTACTACTACTACTACCACGACTACGACTACTACTACTACTACTACTACTACTACTACTCCTACTCCTACTCCTACTCCTACTCCTACTCCTACTCCTCCTCCTACTACTACCACTACTGCCACTACTACCACTACCACTACCACTACTACTTCTACTTCTACTTCTACTACTACTACTACTACTACTACTACTAGTACTACTACTACTACCACCACTACCACTACCACTACTACTACTACTACTACTACTACTACTCCTGCTGCTGCTACTACTACTACTACTACCACTGCTACTACTACTACTACTACCACTACTATTACTACTACTACTACTACTACTACTACTACTACTACTACTACTACTATGAACTCATTGCTTCCTATATGGACTCTGGCCTCATGCTCACCAGCTCATCCCCTCAAAGCCTGGTATCATCCTTCATGGTCCTATGGTCTCGTAACACATTATTCAGGGGAGGTGGACCTCATGAGTGGTATCTCATACATTCTTGACCTTGTTGACCTACCATGTGCGAGGGGGGGATGTTTATTAATCAGGAGTTGACATTACCATTACTGGGCCAGCTGCCTTGGTGATGATCGTATGTCCAATGGTGGAGCACATGGCGGTCTATTGCACCTCGCCATGACGCCCCTCAGCTACGCCATGCGCTACGCGCTCCGATTCACACTTCCAATCCACTTGCCCCATGTTTGTGCCCCCCATGTCGCGTGAACAGAATCTGTGTTGTGGAGTTGAAAACACATGTTTTGGGGAAAAAAAACACTCAGATTTCATGGTCGGAGCCATTTTCCATCCATCCATCCACATCACCATGGATTCGACACCTTCGGGCATTTGTGTGTGTTGTGTTTGCACCGGTGACGCGACGAAAATCCCTCGACTTCGTCCCAGACAGCCCATATAAGTACATGGGATCTAACGACACGCCACTGCCAGACAGCTACCCCCCCCTCGCTGGGTTCAGATGTCTCAAGTGACCTGGTTCCGTGACCTGGTCAGATTCTTTCGGCGTGACCTGTCAGTTGATGACCACCGATCAGTTGGTTCTAGAACTGATCTCCATCTGACATCAGATCTGCGCCGATCTGGGGCCCCTATCTCTGTCTCCACGTCCGAACCCCATGCAGGGTGGACAATTCGTGAAGCAAAGCAAATGGATCTTTTTACCCGGAAGACATCAGTGCACCGCCTCAGTCCACCCACTGAGTCCGTGACCCACTGAAAACGCCAGGCGACCGGTCGACCGAACGAAGCACCGGCGGCACCGCTCAATCTCAGCTGAAGGGCTGCCTGTTCCAACTTGGATTCGCTGGGCCCGATGCGCACCTGAAACAAAACGAGTGTCACCGGTGAACAGCAAGTGCATGGGTATGAGCACTGCAAACGAGGTGGAGGGGTTTTTGGCAAGAGCTTGAATGGCACTTGAATGGTACTGAGAACAACGAAGAAGTTCTGTGCATGTGAGAGGCCGGCATGCTGGTGAGAGGCCGGCGGGGCCAGATGTCGTCGTTCCTTCGGGGATGCCCATCCGAGTGACAGGATCAACCGCAGCCGCTAGGGCCACAAAAAGGCTACTATGTCGTTGCGCGGTACTTTCCAAAACCGGCCACGTCTTTAGGTAGTGAGCATCAAGTCTGCAAAACATGGGGCACGTGCTGTCAGTGCTGCTCAAGGATGTATACTCAGTGCTGCTGGTCCTGTTACAAACTCTTCGCTTCCACCGGGGTCCATCAGCCCTAGCTTCGCCTGATCTGGCGAGCAGCTGCCCCAGATAGGGCCGCAGGACTAGCACCGGACACTCACAAGCAGGGTGTATCCCCTCTATCAAATCAACCAACCAAGGACTTGCCAAGGTCTACTTAGCCACTGGGAATCTACGTGGCACTCACAACATCTCACAACCACCTCGTGGCACTCTACAGTCCGGCCCTACTTCGAGGTTTGTTCAGCCCGAGTCAAAGGTGTTTAAGCGATATGAGTTCAGCCCGGCCATTGCCATGCGGTCCATGAGTTCAACCCGGCTGCTGGAGCCTTTGATGCGGGATCCACCCAACTCCTCTGCCACTGGCAATCCTCGTCCTGCGTGAACCCTCATGCTGCGTCACCGATCAGGTGGCTCCCTGTTCCTTGGACTTCAGCTACTCTCTTCCCGGTCACGTCACCTACGACACCGGCCAAAACGACCACCAGCCCGGACCTCGACCGCACCCGATGACGTCGCCTGCAACTCGCCCTCGGCGCTGCCGCTCCGGACCAAACGGACCACGACTTCGCCTCGGGGCGGCGCGCGACGAACGGCCGCCGGATCGACGGCGGGAGAGGAGAGGAGGTCGAAAACGGACGGTCATCCTCGCACGGGAGAATCGCACTGCTTCGGTTCTGAGTTTTTGCAGGTTTTTGCTGGGTCCCCTATTTTTGGGATTTCCTCCGCCCCAAAAACCCATCAGGTTTGGCATGGCTTTGGCCGTTTTTGTGTTGGGTCCCCTTTTTTTCCTTTTTTTGTGGGGTCGGGTTGGAAAAAGAAAGCCCAGCTGGATCGTCCCACCAAACCTGCCTGGGGAGTTTGACATTCTGCTTGGGCAAATTGCAGCAAGCTGATGTGTGCTAGGACCCCCAGTCGGGGTGGTTAATGGACACCCCTTGGGCTATCAATAGTCACCCCTTAGGGTGTCCTGGTGCGAGGGTCGGATTTCATCTGATTTCATAGCGTGCCTCCGCTCCACGGGCCCACATAAGACGGACCCAAAAACCTGCTGACTCGGCTTGTCCATGGGCCACCCACACGGCGCCGGTCCATGGGCCACCGATGTCCGGATATCATTTTGACATATTTACCCATCAGTTGGGGTGTTTTTGATGGGTCAATGTATACCCTGGGAGTCAAAGACCATTAAAACAATGGTTGACCTGGTTTTTGTATTGTAAACTCCTTAGTTGATTGGGTAAAGCCTATTAAATTAATGGTTGTTGGAAGCCTAGGGTATAGCTTTAAGAACCTTCCGTCTCCTTGTGTCCGCGATACCAGGGAGACCCGTCTCTGGCTTCTCTGCACAACGTCCACCCATATGGGAACCGGATAAGACGATACTCAGCGGTTCGCATAGCGAAGTGAGACGTCACGTCGAAAAACAAATGCCAGGGATTCCGAGTTCGGAGGAAGAAACACTCTAGCGATGGCCGAATCGACTCCAACCTAATAGCGATGGCCTCCAACCGATAGTGGTGGCGATGGCCTCCAACCTGTAGTGGCAATGGCCTAGAACCTGTAGTAGCGATGGCCTCCCCCTAAAAAACTCAATTGTTCACACATACACACTATATGTCCACATGGCCTGGGCTCGATTTGGAGCCCTTCTTACCTGACCTGAGGTCGATCCCAGTTTCTAGCCATCAAGACATATCAGTACATGTCAGGTTTCTTTAAGCACCTCATCAAAAAAAGAACCTCTTCTGACCATGACATGGATCCTCTTCTGACCTCTGTCACTCCTTCCTTCCTTTCGCCCAACCCGCCGGTCTCGGCCGAGACGTCTCGCCCCGGTCGCACCCGTTTCACCCGCTCACGGTCCCCGTCTCCGCTCCGCCCGCGTCCCGTACGTTTTCGCTCCGGGACGCCGTCGGAGGCTTTGCCCGTGAAGTTCAGGTGCTCAAAGCCCACCTGACGAAGGGCCGGGGGCTCTCGAGCGAACGGGAAGACCGAACGGGAAAGGACCGGTCGGTCCGGGTTTCACGGGGTAGGATGCATAGGAGGTTTTGGGACCGCTAGGATGTACCATGGAGTTACACAGGGGTGTGAAACCTCCCATCCAGTGAGTGGATGTGACAGCGGTAGCCGACTGACCAGCGGGCGCGCTTCACCACGGTCGGACAGCCGTCAGATGCGGAGGAGTAGACCGGTAAGCGCGTCGCTTCGCAACATCTCCGGGTGGAGAGAGCGAGACGCAACCGATCTCTCCCACGCTGCCGACAGCCCCTGACTCACCATAACTCCAGCGACGCTCTGGCGGTTTGGCAGATTTCGTGGCAGGCACAGCACTTGGTGAATGAACTCCGAAGAGATCCACCCGTATTGCAGCTCAAACACGTGTGCTGCTCGCCTAGCACTTCCTGAAATTCTGATCCACTGACCCGGTTTCTGCGTTCCATCTGAGATATCATATGATCGATCTATCAGGTCCAACCGCACTTCTCGGCACTTCTCGACCTCTATCTAGCGCATACTGCGATAAGCTAAGACCATCGTGAATTCTACACCCTGGAAAATTCACATATATACCCTGAAAACCACATAAAACCACTGCTGGGTAGAGGAACACCATCTTCCAGAGGCCAAACTTCATCAGGGTCCACGTGACCGAGCCAAAATCCCACTTCGGTGGTTGATCTAACTTATGAACTCCATCTTCCCTCCCCGCCCCCCAAATGACAACAAAACTACACGAATTGGGGTCCCACGGCACGCGCCATCGCCGCACCTCGTTCCCCTTCGGCTCCTCTGGCGTGACGACCTCAGCAACGGAGCGGAAACCGGGACGACCCACGTGGGAAGAGAAGACCGACAGACACCATGATGTTTGTTTGGGGGAGGTATGTGTGGGTGATCCAAAAAATAGAAGTCCTTCAGCTTCTAGGGATTCGACCTGTTATAAGTTGTTCGTTGTTCGTATCATAGACCCCCTCTACTCTTTATGACCAACCAACCCAACAAAAAAGGGCCATCCATGCGCACCCCTGCGCCTGCCAAGATGTCCTACGGGTGGAACGGGTGACACGTTCTGCGCATGCTTCTCGCGGAGACATGTTCTGGACATGGACTGGCATCCTTCCACAGGGAACGGCTAAGATGTCCTTCTTCCAGCACCTTCAAAGGGGTCACCAATGGAAGCCCCTACACTACCTAGGGATCTCCATTGGGCACCCCTTTGAAGGTCCAGGTTGGAATTTTTGGGCTAGCGGCATGTTCTTAAAGCATCCAACAAGGGATTGGACTGAGACACTGGGCATCTTCGGGGCAGACCGGCGTGTATCCGACCCGGGGACCGACCTTCATGCTGGGTAGGCATTCTTCATTATTATCTTCATTTTAAGGCTGGACTCACTAAACTGTGGAAGACCGAATGGTTTTCACTTGGTTTTCACCAGTCAAGATAGTATGTCACCTCGATGGCTTCAGCCTAAGAGCCTCAGATAACCTCTGAAGACCCACATCATCACCAAAGCCGTCGGGTGGTGCGTGGCTGCGCAGTTCACTCTGAGATCTCGGACCTTGTGCTGCCTCAAGTTTCTCCAGGCCTCTTGGATCTCCTCCTTCGTCGCGTCGGTGAGAAGAAAGTGCGTTCTCGTCCCTTTTGTAGGGGTGCGAGGGGTGTTCTTTTCCCTAAAATCCACATTCCCTTCTGACACGGTGCGATGATCAAACACCGTGATGATCAAAACGTCGGGTCCAGGAGACACCGAACCGCTCCACGGTTCGGTACGACAACGGATCAACAGGGTTGGATCTGAGGAGACCATCCGGCATGCCATTCCAATTGACTTGCAGGGGGGAGCATGTGAAGACATTCGCTACCCGGGCGGGTGAGACAACGTCTCATCATGTGATGCTCCAAAACGACCCGACACGTGGTCTTCGGTTCCGGGTCGGACGCTGGGTCCGGACCTGAGACACCCGGGTCGGTCGGTGGTGCCCACGGGGAGGGCCCCCACAAGCACCACGGTGAGGGTCGTGTGGGTCGCATCGGGGTACATCTTAAAAAACCACAGCTGTTCTAGTACCCAGACACGACTCAGACAGGGCCAAACACGACCTGGCATATGCTCCATACATTATGACCCCTTTTCAACCAACCACCCCTGGCCTGATCGGGATTCATATGCCAGTCCCATTAGTTGTGTTTGGGTTTGGTGCTTCATGGTGTGTGATGGGTTCCTGTCATCAGTCCCTAACCGGGACTGAAGACGATGCTAGTCACTTGCTTCACCCGGTGGAAGTCCTTTCGGTGGATTTCGCCGTCGCCGCGATCAACGGTTGCCACACATGACTTGCCACAGAAGGACCGACCGTCACACCCGACCCGTCCAGGTCCAGGGTCCGTTGGCCGAAACTGGAAGGCGCACCGTTTTTTCCCAGAGGTTTCACCAGAGTCCTGTGAATCAGTAATGAATCATGTCATTATATAATAACTATTATGGTTGTTTTCTTTCTTTTCCGTGTGATTGTACAGGTTGTTTTTGTTGTTATTGTCTTTCTTTTCCGGGTGATTTCACAGGTATCCACTTCTTGTTTCTTCATTGCGCTGGATGATCTTCTAGACCCCGCCCCAGAAAGGCTCGACCAAACATGTGCTCGCCTCAGACATGGTCTCCGACTTCTTCGACGGAGGCGTGGAGGAGATGGAGGTGGACACCACGATGGTGCCGTCTTCCCTTGGAAAGTGGCACTCACAGAAGTGGCACTGGCCATGAGGTGGCCAGGAGCTGGCGGCCACTGCGGTCACTGCTAGGCTTTCATTGGCAGCAGTTTGCTTCCAGTTTGGAGGGCAGTTTCAGTGCGGGGTAGATAGACCTTAATGCATATATACGTACTACTTCCTATACCACTTGCAAGCAGCTGAAAACTGGGTCGGACCCTGTCTTTGCTTTTTGCAGATTTATACAGTTGCGGGTGGTGGCAGGAAAACCGATCCAAAAGAAGATGGGCCCAGGATCACGATGGCAGAACACGTTTGTTCTATCCAGTCAACTCAACATAGACAAGTAAATCGGTAGATCCTCCCATCAGATGTCTATCTAGTTGGGAACCTATGAATATGCCAGTTCACCCTTTTACCAAAAAAAATGGTGAACTGGTCTCCTCCAAATTGGACTGGTCCAAACTCCTGAGCTGGCGAAGTTCAAGTTCATAGGATTAAGGACGCACGTCCTTCAATCAAAAACCACAAACCCAATCCACAAAACTCAGACTGTGATCATGCCGTGTCATGTGATGTCCAAGATCTGCCCTCCAAGATCTGCTAGTTTGGAACCCTCTCACCGTACTGCCAAGCCTTGTGCTTTGATCTGTTAGGCCCGCGCAAGGCCCTTCTCCAGTCTCACTTTCGCTTTTGAGGCCAAGACTGTTGTTCCTTTTGGTGCAAAATATTCGCCAAAACGCCTCCCAGGTCCTGCAAACACGAGACCACAGCAACTCAAGGGAAAACGGCATGGCGGGGGTTGACAAAACGGAAAGATCCGACAAAAACGCTGCGAATTTGGAGAATTTGGAGCGCTTACTAGTAACAAGGACGCTAGTAGCAAGGACGCTACTAGCAGCTAAGTGCATTACCACTTGCAACAAGAAGCTAATGGAAAAATAAGTTTTCCACTCTGCAATCTCTTGGAACCCAAAAGCGCCCGGTCTGCAAAGGCTTCTGCTGTTGGTTGATGCACACGACGATTTGATACCCACCAGCTGGTTACCCACCAGCAGGGTAACCAGACCTCCGCCCTCGCCGACGTGAAGACATCACAGAACATCACAAGCACATCTTTGGGTCCTGGATCTTCTCCACAAGCTTTGGGATGCCCAGGTCCGTCTGGCGTGGTCCGTGAACGGGGCGCTCACCAACCGACCGGTCCACGCCCACGGTGGAGGCCGGTGCACCGGTGGGCCTTGATGGCCACGGGGTGTCATCATAGCTCCTTAAAGGTATCCAGGGGTATCCATCAACCACCCGAAGTCCTGGGGGCCCTAGAACCGATGAAACGCCGCCTGAAACTACTCCGGTTGCTTTGAAGAAAAGGGCATCACAAGGGCATCTGACCCTCCAAAACTGGGGTAGAAGGACCCCGTCAACTGGATCCATTCAACGCGGAGACCGCACAAATACCATGGCTATGAGACAACACTAAGCTGACCCACTGGTTCAGTAAACCTGCAGTTAGCCTTGTTTTACTTAACCTGGGGGCAACGCAATCATCCAAATGTTCACACGTTGACCGGTTGACCAGTGAAGGGGAGCAAGAATTTGACTATGATTATTCTTCAATCATGATCAATCATGAGATCTGCCCAACCCATCTACCATTGACCATCAACATTGACATGGATTTTGCAAACCATGGTTTTATGTGCAAAAACGGCACGACTTTATTGAACGGAGGACGATGCTCTTCTGTGCAGCCTTCTGGTGCTAACTTTTTCTAGTGTTTGCTCTCTTTTTGCAGATCTGTGCACCCGAATGGTGTCCCGAATGGTGTCCCGAATGGTGTCCCGAATGGTG